CCGCTCGGCCACAAGATAAGCGGAGTAGAACCCCACTCCGAACTGGCCGATCATACTGACATCGGCGCCAGCCGCAAGCGCCTCCATAAACTCCTTGGTCCCGGAGCGAGCGATGGTGCCAAGGTTGTTGACGAGATCGGATTTGGTCATGCCGATACCGCTGTCGATGATGGACAAGGTGTTGGTGGCCTTGTCAGGAACGATGTGGATGAAAAGCTCCGGCTGGGCGTCGAGCTTGCTTTTGTCCGTGAGACTCTCGAACCGGATTTTGTCCAGCGCCTGTTGAGGGCTCCAGATCAGTAGAGAAAACAGAGCAAAGCACGAAGTAAACAAGAAAAAAAAAAAATAAAGTATTTTTCCTCTAGATCGACATCTCAGGGAAACACTCACATCGGAAGAATTACTGATGAGCTCGCGTAGGAAGATCTCCTTGTTGGAGTAGAAAGTGTTGATGATCAGGCTGAGAAGCTGGTTGATCTCCGCCTGGAAAGCGAAGGTCTCTGTCTCGGTCGCCATAGCCGGCCTGTGGAGAGATCTCGAAGTCGAGAATCAAGGAGAGAACAGGGCTGCGGCGCTAGGGTTACAAGGTCGGGTAGTGATCGTTGGAAATGGGGACTAGTGGGAATATATAGAGGGAGCGCGTTTCTAGATCCTTCTGTATAGGTCGAGAAGACCAGCTCCCTTAACGAACACGAGTCAGGTTTCTAGATCCTTCTGTGGATCCAGAACGGCTCATTCATTGATACGGATTCAACTATCTCAGCACTGGGCCGGGCTTATACTGGCCGGACCGGTCCACTGCTTTCTTTATTTCAGGGTCAATTCGTGATGAGTAACAAATTATTTTTTTTATTTTAAAAACAAATTATTTTTATTTCTGAATGAAAAAAATAAATTATTCTTCTCTTTCTTTTTTTGTCTCCTCCTCGTCATCATCATCTTACCATCTCCTTATCTTTTATTTTCCCTCGTTTCCTCCACCCTCAAAAACATGAATAACAAATAATATATTGTTTGATGTTTATTATATCATAATTTAATGAGAATTACCTATGATAATGTGATAAGTTTTACTTATCGGATGTGTTGTAATACATTATTTGACATTTTGATATTGTAATTGATATTATATGAATATTTTGTTTCACTTATATATGGTGTGTATTTTGTGTTTATTACGATGTCAATGCATTTTTTATCCTAGTTGTGAACTATCTTGTTATGAATACTATGATGTTTATCGTTGTAATAGCTATGATGTGTATAGATTTACTGTTGTGAACTATGGTATATTATTATTGTGATAACTAACTGTTGTATGTATATATGTTTACTATTGTAAACTATTGTGTATCGTTGTTGTAAATGCTGTGATATTTACTATTGTTAGTGTTGTGAATTATGTTTGTGTGTCATTGTTGTGAAAATTGAATGAAAGGTTTTTAGTGTGTTCCTATGATGTATACTAATAGGTATGCATATTTGTATCATTAATGTATGTTATTGTTATGATTTTAATACCGATATGTCTTGTGGTCATGATGTTTACTATATTGTGTGTTGTTATGAAAGTTGAATAATGTATCTTTGTTGTGCTGCTACTATGATGTGTCTTTCTTGTGAGTTTACATTGTTGATGTCTTTGTTGTGTCACAAAGATGACTAGTATGATTTTTTTTTTGAAGATTTTAGGGTCGATAATTATCAAAATTAAAAAGTTTTTTGGATCGATACTATATGAGTGTAACTTAATTAAAAAACGAGTGTATCTCAGCCAACTGTCACAAAACTTATCTAAACTTTCACATAAGTACAAAGACATGATTTTAAGACGATTCATGTTGTTTTTTTTATATTTTTATTTTTGAGGATTTTATGATAATAAAATATCAAAATTAGAGAAATTTTTATAATATATTATGATCGAGTATAATTTAGTTTAAAAATAAGTGTAACTTAATCAACTTCTTCTAAGACATGATTGTAAAATGATTATGACTTTTTTTTTCTTTTTTTGAGAATTTTAGGTTAAAAAAATCAAAATTAAGAAATTTTTAAAAACATATTGATAGAGTATAACTCAATCAAATTCTATGAAATATATTGAAACCTTCACAGAACTATTAAGACATAATTGTAAGATATTAGTACTACTTTTTTTTAGGATTATAGAATGATAAAATATTAAATTTAAAATTTTTTGATAAGATGTTGCGATCGAGTGTAACTTAGTTAAAAAACACAAGTATAATTCAATAAAATTTTATGAAATATATCTAAAATTTCATCGAGAACTATTAGAACATGATTGTAAGATTACTAATACACTATTTTTTTTATTTTTTTTTATCTTAGGATGATAAAAAATCAAAATTTAAAAAAAAATGGAAACATAATTTAATCAAGTGTAACTTAGTCGAAAAATGAGTGTAACCTAATCAAATTTTACGAAACATATCCAAAGTTCAACATAACTACTGCAACATGATTATAAGATGATTAATACTATATTTTTTGAGGATTTTGGGATGACAAAATATGAAAATTTAAAAGTTTTGGAAACATGCTATGGTATGATCGAGTGTACTTAGTTAAAAAAAATAAGCATAACTTGATCAACTTCTACAGAATATGTCTTAACTTTCATAGAACTACTATGACATAATTTTAAGATGTCTATTATCATTGTTATATTTTTTTTAGAATTTTAGAATGATAAAATATCAAAATTAGAAAATTTTTACAAGATGTTATGATCGAATATAACTTAGTTCAAGAACTTTCATACCAAGTCCTAGGACTTAATCGTGAGATGGTTAGCATCATTTTTATTTTTGATAATTTTATAATAATAAAATATTAAAATTAGAAAATTTTAAAAACATGCCTTAATCGAGTGTAATTTAGTTCAAAAATAAGTCTAACTTAGGTCAACTTTCATGGAATTTATTATAGAAGTATCAAAAGACTCAATTGTGAGATGATTAGATTTTTTTTTCACTTTTATGATAATTTTAGAATAATAAATAAAAAAATAATTTTTTTTTGAAAAATATTGTGATCTAATGTAATTTAGTTCAAAAACGAGTATAACTCGATAATTTTTATGAAACATAGCCAAACTTTCATACAAATACTATATAATTTTTTGAATATGTACTGTAACTAAGTTAAAAATTTTTTTAAAACTTTTCAAACTTCTCTGTTACTATTAAAACACATTGGTAAGATTATTAATACCACTTTATTTTTAATATTTTAAAATAATTAATAAAATTGAACATATTGGTAAGATTGTAAAATCATGTCATAATGGTACCTCAATTAAAACATGATTTTAACTCAACTAAAATTCACTATCACTACTTAACTAAAATATAATTATAGCAAGGATTACAAGATCATAATGATAACTTTATATTCAAAATTAATAACAGTTCATGATGCTTCATAATGTTGTGACGCATTTGCCAAAAACTAGTATACAATATACAAAAAAATCACCTCGTATAATAATGCAGACAATAAAAAATTATGATCAAAATTAGATTATATAAAAAGACTAAAGATTCTGCTACTTTACAATTAATAATATCGACTTATATAATTAGTGAAAATTTATATGAATGTTGATACCTCATACACACTTTCTACCTTGCCACTATATCTTGATGGACATCAAGATTTTTCAAATGTTCTTCTCTATAAAATCATTTAATTTTCAGTTAAGAAGGTAAGAAAAGGGACAGGCAAAAGGGGAGGAGGAGATTGAGGCAACAAAGGCGAAGAATAAGGAGGATGGGGGAGAAGGAGAAGGCCAGGAAGAGGAGGAGGAATGAGATGAGATAGAGGAGAAGGAATGAGATGAGGCAAGGGAGAAGGGAGAGGAGAAAAGGGCGGAAGAGATGGATGAGGAGGAGGAGGAGGGGAAGGAGGTGGAGGAGGAGATGGTGGAAGAGGAGAAAAGTTGGGTCAACGAGTGATAAACATTACTCTAAATCAAAACGAATCGATTAAAAAAAAAAATCAAACTATGAATACGTCCTTATTTTTTATATCATTTATAATAAATGATGAGGTCATTTCCATCCAAATAGGAAAAAAAAAAGGGCATTCCCATTAATAATAAGTGTAATGAGATTACACTATTCCTGTATTAATTCTATATATACAGTGACAACAAGATACTAATATAATTCTGTATAAATACTATATATAATTCTGTATAATCATGTTCATGTATAATATGACAACAAGATACTATATACAATTGTAACCACATTAATAATAAGTGTAATGAGATGAGGAGGAGGTGGAATGATGTATAATAAGTATATATCATATTCATGTATAATGTGACAACAAGATACTATATATAATTGTAACCATATTATAATAACAAGGAAAAATAATCTATAATTTATTGTATTTGTTTGTGACAATGAGCCAAATTAGGATTTAAAAAAATAAAATAAAACAAGTTAGTCAGAACTATCAAAAGAAGGTAAAAAAGATTTAGGATTATTATGCATTCCTTGAAGAGTTCTTTCTTTTTCTAATCATTTGTCACTATATATTCTGGATATATAAAAATAGCGCTGAATACAACAAAGTCATCATATATAAGACGCTTACCTTCAACCTGAAGAAAACCAATCAAAAGGAACCTGCCAAAATTTTGAGATCAGGAAGGGCACTTCAGGATGATATCTAGGGAGAATAACCTCTTTAATCCCTGTAGCAAAGTTGCCTCTGATATCTATTGACGCTTACAATGAAGCTCAAGATCATGGACTCAACACTCCCGATAGATATTTATTTAGTGGAAACCACGCCTAGCGGTGACATATCAGAAGCTGAAGGGCTCCAGAACTGAATGACAAGAGAACTGCCTTAGACGTGTGACCGAAGGGGTGCTAATTAAAAACAGTAGGATTCAACAAATGACATCACAAACATTCCACTATGTCCTATATAAGTGATATTAGTTGACACATAAATGAAAGGAACTGTTATCTATTGCTTGGACAATGATCAGCCAACTGATATATACATGGTATGATAAAGTAGAGATGATAACCATCTGAGAAATCACCAAAAAGAATCTCCTCTTAAACTTTGGCATGCTGAAAAAAGAAAAAAATTGCAGTGTTTATTGATGCACTTGGAATTCTTTTGTTCTCGAATTTTCAGGAGCCTCATCTGTTAGGCACAAAAAATTGACTTCAGCTCAAAAGGGTGAAGCAAGAAAATGAAAATATGCAATAAAGTAAATATATAAATAATGAGGACCTAAACATGAACTAATTTCAGAGAATGTGAGGCAAAGGATGCTCTGATGAACGACTACCATAGTTACAGGTAATTTGGGCAGGATTAGCACGATTGAGAAGCCCTTTTTGTTGTCTTTAATTTGCTCAACACAATGAATTTTCATGAACAATGTGCCAATAAAGAGCTACTTCATGTGTAGAAAGAGAAGGGAATAATATGTAATGACATCAGGCTTCTTAGAAATTGTTGAATTTATATTTGCAATATTTTCAATTTTTTTATGCTTGATGTTAGCAAATTGTATTATCAGATTGTGAGAAAAAAAGAGAGTCCAAATGTTGTGGACTATCTTAATGAAAAGCAGTGCTAAATTGGGGAAAATCAGAAACCGAAACATTTGTTTTGGTATCAAGATACTATAGAGTTTCAAATGCTCTTGGAAGGATGGACTGGAAGGTACACCATATTCCCCAGAAATGAGAAATACATTGGTTCATAGGGTGTGTGAGTTGTCTTCATATGGTCAATGTGTCTTATCTATCAAATTCAGTTACAAATATTATTGCTTTTGCATCTTGCAGAAAGAATAAACAAAAATGTCCTTACCGGGAACATCATTTTTAGATGTGAAGATAGGAGTGAGATAGTTCCTGTCCAGTGCAGTGAATGAGGCGGTGCTGCAGAGATACATAGCCAAGGCAAACATTAATCTAGTAAAAAGATGAAGCAACTTAAGAATCAATAAGTATAAAAGAAAACTCATCAACACCTTTGGATTTTTTTAAGTTTCATCCTTATCTTGTTCCCAGAAGAAGTTCCCTCATCAAAAGATGGTCCGACATAGTCATGGTTGTCCCCTAAGTTCTCCTAAATGCCAGAAATTGATAAACTTGGATTCCATACAAGCCAATTGTCAAAAAACAGTATTATGCATGAAGTTTGATATAAGCTCAAATTGCCTTTTTAC